TAGTTGGATCTAATACCCAGCATTGGCTTGGCTTAGGTTGCGGCTCCCGAGTGGGTGGAGCTTTTGGTTCTAGGCTCGTCCTCTTCAGATCTGGCCGCAACTGGTGGGCCGGGAAGAAGAGAGCGGGGCTCAGTCACCTGCTGCACAAAGAGCTAAGTCATTTAGACTCTTTCATTGCATTGGTCAGGAGGAGGGCGGGGTTCGGAGGGCATTCGGCACTCATTGGCTCCAGGAACTACTTGGGCTGGGCTAAAGGTGAACTGGGACGGGGTCATTTTTTTTTTGACTGGTAGGTTCAATATCCAGCATTTTCTCCCAAGGACAGTTTCAGCCCCTTGAACGTTTCAGAGATTTTAACTTACCCAAGGGCAATTCCTCAATTTTATGTTTTTGTTAACATATTCATTCCATAGACTAAAGTTTTGCTGTTTTTAGGGCGGTTTGTGCATCGATTTTTTAAACGGGCAGAGATAGAAAGGACCTGTCTTTGCGGCACTACTAATAAACAAAAGAATATATAACAAATGTTCTTTTCTAATCAGAAAAGATGTGTGATACAGTTAGCTCCGTGCCGGCATTTTCCATGAATCAGGTTTGCTCTGCTGGAATATATTTTTACATAAGATACATGGGGTCACAAAATGCTGATATACTCAGACACTGGGTAAGTTTTAGTCTGATATCACATAGAACACGTTACCACTCTATCTTTAGGATTTTTTTTTTCAGCACATGGCCTGACACATATAGGTGCTTAATAATTGTTGAATGAATAACATTTGGTGTTTCATTTCCTTTCATAATATATATGTATTGCATATTATATTATTCTTCCACTTATAATCAATTTTTCATATTTTTACATAGTCTATGTAAATATACTTTGTAATGGCTGCATAATATTTCCATGAATGAGTTTATCATAGTAACCCTTCCTCTATGATTGACTATTAGTTGAATTAGTTATAGGTGAATGATTGTCATGGTGCATATAACCACTGTTGAGGAACTCTTTGCTTCTAGAGATAGTACAATCTTTTTTATATAGCAATATTATTGTTAGAAAGTCCTTTCTCCTCCTAAGGGCAGACATTTGATCCTGTCATTTTTCCCTAGAAATCCAGGCTACATTTCTTCCCTTGGAAGGACAGTTGGCCTCCCTAAATGTAGAAAATGTAGAATGGCCTCTTCTCTGTGCCCCAGAAACTGCAGTTGTCTGCATGCCTCTGGGACACCAGGAGACCCTAGAGCTGCCCTGGAGGAGGGCAACAGATAAGTGGATTTGGGAAACCAATCTGGAGGAGTAGGTGAGCATAAAGCACTTTGAAGCTGCTTATTTCTTTGGGTTTTCATAGAGAGCAGGCAACACAGAGGTTATTCCTGTTTTACAGATCTAGAAACTGTGGCTCAAAGAAGGAAAGTGACTTGCCTAGGGCTACAGAGCCTGTTAGTGTCAGAAACTCCTACTCCCCTAAAAATTATCTATGGCCTTCCTAGTCACTCCCCCATATTCACTGATTTTGACCCCTGGCCCAGTCTTCTCTACCCCAAGCACTTGTCATCACCTGCAGCTGTTCTCATCTGAAAGCTGCAATGCTCTGCAGCCTCTGACCCCTGCCTCCTGTACTTCAATCCTTGCCTCTACATCTGCTGTAGGACCTCATTACAGACTTTTATTTTTTGACTGCTCCCTTTTTCAATCTGTCAATTGCTTCCTGGCGTCACTTTCTTTCCTTATGTGTATGGTCTACTGCCTTCACATCTTCATGACTTCTTTTGCCTTATTTTCCTGATCATAATCCCTGACACCCTCCTGTATTAATCTAAATATTTTGCTTCTCAGCTCTAACAGGGTTCTCACTTTCAACTGTACCTGAATCCTGAACTACCCACTGATCAGGTTTTTTCTCCAACACCCCACATGAGCCTTCCCAAAACTTTACTTTCTATTTCTGTCTCCTCTACTCCCTCCCTGGCCTTCTGACTATAGACCCTGGAATGGCCCCATCCCACTCTTATCCCCCCATTCCACACCAGCAATTGGCCTTATTGCCTACTTCAAAAGGAATATAAAAGCCATCAGAGGGGAACAAGATCTCATTCCCTGAAGCTCAGTGAGGGCACCATCCTTTCTGCCTTCCTCTTGCTGTTAGGACATAGTGTTTCTCCTGTCCAGAGCAAATCCCTTCACCTCTGCCTTGACCTCATTTTTTCTCTCCATCTCTGGGATCTTAACTCACCAGGCATCTCACTTCTCTATTCTGTATCCTTCAAGGTCTTTTTGTCCACTAGCCTATTCCTCTTTTCCTCCCTAAAAAAGTGCTTCCTTAACTCCACATCTCCCTCTGGATATTGTCTGATTTCCCTCCTGCACTTTTCATCCAAGCTTCTTGAAGAGACTCCTTCAAACTCACTGCTGTTTGACTTCCGTCCCCTCTGTACCAGTGTGAAACTGCACTCTCTGAAGTCCCCAAAGAACTTCTAATTGCAAAACCCAATGGCTGCTTTTCAGTCTTTATCTTACTGGTGTCCCAGATGCATCTAACATCACTTCTCACTCTATTCTTCTTGAAACTTCCTCCCTTCTTGGCTTCCTTGAAGCTACTCTCCTTCTGATATCAGAACCAGCAGTTTGAATGTGGGCGTAATGGAGGCAGATGGCTGGATCCAGCTTCTCTCTTGCCCCCAGTAGGCGTTGACTCTAAGGTATTAGGCTGTCTGTCCCTGAGCTAGGCTCTATCTGCCCCATACAGAATGACATCAGGTTCCAGTGACATCCCCTTTATTGCTGCTCTAGGCCAGCCTCACACAGGCCTGCGCCAGTTGTTGACAGTATCTGTCCCTGGAGGAGGGAAGAGCAGAGGTGAAAGGGTCAGGTATGGGGGTCATATGTAGGGCCAGGCTGGGGGCTGCGTGGGCCAGGGAGCCCAGGGGGACTAGGGTGGGGGCTGGGAAGGCTAGAGGGCCCCTGCCTCTGTAGGGCCTCGAAGTGAGAGTTGTGGATGATGGCTTCTCGGAGGACAGGCATCTCTGCAAAAGGCACATAGTCTGCTCCTGGGGGTGAAAACCAGTGAAGGCATGGATGTGAGGGGGTGGGGGTGGGAGGGGTGAGGGAAGGGAGTGTGGTAGTCCTGGAGGGGATGGTTGAGGATGGGGGTGCCTTCCTGCTTGGCCTTCTGACTACAGACCCTAAATGGCCCCATCCCAGGTTGCTCCCTCACTGTGAGGCCTTCCTCCTCGCCGCCGGGTCTCCTCTGTCTCAAAGAAAGTCTCATGTTCTTCCCAGCGCCGGTCACAGGCCACACAGAGGAAATTAGACTCAAAATATTTGCAGCAACAACCTAGGGCAAAAGGGCAGCCAAAAAGAGTATAGGAAATTGGGGTATCCCCATGGGCCAACAACATTCTCATCTCTTCCTCACCAACCACACACCCAAGTCTCTCCTACCAGCTCCCTATCATTATCCCCAAACTATTTGTATCCTGTCCCCACCCATGCCCCTCCCAATTTGCCCCTTCCCCTAGAAGTTACCACGATGCCTGCAGGGATGCGACCCAGTGGCTGCATGTTCTTCATGGCTGTGTTTGCAGCAACATTGGGCCCTCCAGGCCTTGGGGTCGAAGGTGGCCCGTCTCCTGAGCCAGAACTCACCCACCTCCTCTGGGCGTGACGGGATAAAGCAGAACATGAGGCAGCGGCACTGGCTCATGCTGCAGGGCACGGATATGTCTGTGGGAATGGGATGGGTGGTAGGGTGAGGCCAGCACCTGATAGGGCCTGGCCTTCCCATGCCAACGCCTCCCCCGTGCCAACATGTGTGTGTGCATGCACACGCACACACGCATTCTCTCATACATCCCAAGATGTGACAGAGTACAGTTATCTCTCCACACGCGACAGGGGCTGCTCGGTTCTCCCCTACCTGAGATGATCTTGTGCTCTTTCAGCAAGTGTCCACAAAAGCATCTGGACTCGTCCCCAATCCGGAAACAGTCCCATAGGTAATGAGGGCAGCGCCAGCCGATGTAGAGACCTAGGTGTGGAGGGACTGAGTAATAAGGCAAAGTGAAAAGGAAAAAAATCCCAAGCTCCCCTCAAGTGTTCTCACCTACCTCCTGGGGGCTGGGCTCACCTCTCCCCCCAGGTGTATTCATCTCCACCTGAAAATCCTCACCTCTGCCCCTTCAGACTTTTTTTCCCTCAAGATTTTCTCATTACCTCACAAGTGTCTTCAGTTCCCCTCCTACCCGGGATCCACTCCATCTCTGTCAGCCTGTCAGAGTGACTCAAGATGGTCTTCCATTTCCAAGCAGGAAGATTATAGATTAAATTTTGTTTAAAGATGAACATGAACCTCACTGATTTCTCTGTGGCTATGGGGATTCTTATCTCCTCCCCTCACCACATTGCAGCCCAACTTTGCTTTGTTTCCTTGAAGTGTCTAAGGTGAGGGAAAGGGAAGATGATTGGCCAGGTATACAGAAGAGGCTGGGGACTGGCTCCTAAGGATCATGGTTATTGAAGGTGCCTGAAGAGGAGGAGGAGGTCGGGCAACCTGGTGCCAGGAGGTAGGAGGAGGGCTTCCCTCACTTTTTCAGGTTGGTACCTTCATACTTCCCTTTTGTGTTCCTGGTGCTAATGCCCTCTGTGAAGCTGAGAAGGGCTGCCAAATGTTCTCCAAGGGTCAGGAGAAAGGGGTAGGTCAGAAGTCATAGATGGTAAAGACCAAAAATTACAAGTTGCCAGGCTAAGAAGGAAGGCATGGAAGGAAGGTGAGGCTAAGAAGTACCCCTGAGAGCAGGCACCAGCAAGAGCCTGGTTCAGCAGTGAGGTCTGAAACTGTTTGGCTTCACGGCCAATCTCAGCACAAGGTGCTGTGTAAATGTGGGAGGAGAACCAGACAGCACTTCCCATTCAGATTCTCTCATCCTCCATGAGAGCTGAGAGCATCCCAACTTCTGGCCAAGAATCCTGTATAAGTCCCCATGGAGTGGGACCTTCAGCTGTAGGACTCTTATTCCCACTTAAAGGTGAAACGTCACCTCCACCAAAAAGCTGTTCCTGACTTGCCTGGTCTGTCTGTCTAGGCCCCTCCTCTTGCCTTCCAGGCTGCCTTGTGCTACTTCTGTCAGTACAGTGCCTTACAATGCACTGTTCACTTGTATTCCATTAGTCTACGAGCTCCTCAAGGGAAGGGTCTGTCTTTTCGTCCACATCTCTAATCCTAGCACAGAGCCTGGCATAAAACAGTGCTGAAAGAACGTAGACTGCCTGACTAAATGAATGAGCAGGTTCCTTCAAGAGGGAAGAGAGATCCAGTATTCCAGGCATAACCCTGATGTTCCATAACAAAGATGAGAAAGATTTGGTGTCCCCTGGTCTTTGACTCTGGCCAGGGCCACCATCCACAATTCTGTGCCTCAGACTAGGTTTTCTTGTCTTACCCATAGCCTCTCAGGATCTCAATCCTGTCTAGATGTGGCTTTTGGCTTTGCTGCTCGATACCAACAGCCTGTAGTGTCAGTGTCCTATTACACCAGGGAGGCTTGGTTGAGAGGGCAGCGTACAGGCAGTCACAATGAGGGTGGGCAGGAGCCAGGATTCCACTAGAGGAGTTCTGAGTTCTGTCTGGAGTAGGAGGATACATTAAGGAGCAGGTGAGGTGCACAGGTGAACAGGGTCAGTGTCCATAGATCAAGGCCTGGTCTGAGGGCCTGGGGCAGTCAAGTCCAAGCGCTGGTGTAGGAATCAGAGCCCAGCATTCAGATGAAGAAGACTAGAGTTTGAACAGGGAGATTGGCAACTATTCCTCAGATTCTGTTACAGCTTTCAGTGCTCTTAAAGAGGGACAATTGGCATCTGGCAGTAGATTCCAGTGTGGGACCCTCTACTCTCTGCCCTGATTCCAAACTCCCCTCCTGTTATGAGTAAACAAGGACTGGCAGGGGAAAGAGATGTTATCTGGGATGCCATTTTAATTATGTACAACACAGTATAATTCCATGATCACATAATCACATTTGCATGATAACATCTCTTTATGCATGGAATGTCTCCATACAACATACAGCTGTCTTTACAGGAAGGATGTCTCCAGCCTAGACCTCTCTCCTGAGCTTTAGACCCACATGGCCAGCTGTCTACTAGACTCTTTCACCAGCATGTTCCATAAGCACATGTGTTACATCCAATTATTCCCTCCAAACCTGGCTCTCATCCTTTGTCCTCTGTTCATCCAACACATGCTTACCAAGCAGCTACACTGCTTTAGGCATTCAGTTAATGGCACCATCAATCAGTTATGTATGTCAAAAACCTGTCATTCCAGGCATTTTTCTCTCTTACTTATCCTGCACATCCAATGATCCAATGGTCAGTTTTACCTTGTTAGCATTTCTGTTCACTTCTTTCCCCTATACCCATTCACTTCTTACCTGGATTGTTCCCAGTGCCTCACAATGTATTCTTCCCATCTCCAGTCTTGTCTTTCTCTGGTCTATCCTATTGCTAGGGTGATATTTCTTTTTTTTTTTTTTTTTGAGAAAGAGTCTTACTCTGTTGCCTGGGCTAGTGGCGTCAGCCTAGCTCACAGCAACCTCAAACTCCTGGGCTCGAGCGATTCTCCTGTCTCAGCCTCCCGAGTAGCTGGGACTACAGGCATGTGCCACCATGCCCGGCTAATTTTTTTTCTATTTTTAGTTTTCCAGCTTATTTCTTTCTATTTTTAGTAGAGACGGGGATACAGAGTCTCACTCTTGCTGAGGCTGGTCTCGAACTCCTGACCTCAAGCAATCCTCCCATCTTGGCCTCCCAGAGTGCTAGGATTACAGGCGTAAACCACCATGCCAGGTCCAGGATGATCTTTCAGAAACACAAATCTGTTCATGTGATTGTCCTATTTGGAATCTCTTAGTGATTTTCAGTTGCCCTCAGGATATAATCCCAATTCTTTAGCTTGGCACAGAAATGCCTGTGCAATTCTGCCTTTGTAGAGCTGAGTAGGCTACTCTCCCCACCACTCTCTGCACCAGGCATAATGCATTGCTACAGTTTCCTGTGGTGCCTTGCCCTACCTTGTCTCACTGATAAGGAAAAGCCCCATCTATTACTTGGCACATCAGCCACCTGAGACTCCCACCCCTCACTGAAGACCCACATCAGTATAATACTAACCTATTACCTGGCCCATCAACTAATCTATTACCTGGTGTATCAGCATAACACTATTACCTGGTACATCAACATAACACTAAACCTATTACCTGGTGCATCAACTACCCTATTACCTGGTGCATCAACATAATATTAACCTATTACCTGACACATCAACTAACCTATTACCTGGCAGGCATTGGCCACCTTATATCCCACCCCTCGGACCACCCCAACTTAATAAAAGTAGGAAAGATCGGGTAGACGGGGCTCAGAATTTGGTGGCGAGATCCCTCTGAGTCTGCCAGCAAATAAACTTTGATTCTCTGACTCTCCATGTGCCGCTCGGTTTGTCCTTGGGACCACTCGCTGTAACACTTGCTGTAACATCACCTTACCCCACTCTTTAACTGGCTACCTCTTCCTACTCATCTTACAGGTATCAGCTGAGAAGTCATTCTTTCCAAGTCTTATTATTTCTCAAGCACTCCAGATTGGGTGCCCCCTTTTTCTGTTTTTTTCATGCAGCAGTCTGGGCTGACCTTGATTATAGCAATTATTAGAGTGAATTATAATTGTCCTTTTACTTATTGGTGTCTTTCATTACAGTGTAAATTGTTTGAGGAATTTTGTCTTTGAACCCCTACCAGCACCACCGCCTCCACAGCTAGCTCAGTGACTGGGACATACTTGGTGCTCAATAAATGTTTGTTAAATGAATAAAAGAAAATTTATGCTTGACATTTCTCTATACATCAGATTGAGAAACAAATGAGATAAATGAGATCATTGTGACTTCCTTGGCTGGCAGGGAGCGGGGAGGGTCCCTTCATGGGACTGGGGAAAGTAAATTACAGAGGAGGGATAGGATATAGAACTACTTGGTTGTCTTTATATGTTAGGCCTTTTCACATAGCTCTATTCCCATCATAAGGGGAAGGAGTATGAAAGACCAAAATAAATCCAGTGACATCCATTGAATTCAGTCTAGAAATCCCAGAACCCTTATAGCAGCAGGTCAGGGTGGCCCTCTTCCTGAAGGTAAGCCCTGCAGATACGAACTCAGTAACAGAGGTAGCCATGTGCACTTACACAGTTCATCTGTACATAGCACGCACTAAGAGGACTGTCAAGAGTACTAATTGTGGGCCAAGACTTGGAATCCACAGGGTCAGAGGACTTGGCTCTCCCTTTGGTGAGGAGACCCAAAGCTTTTGGTTACCCAGCATGGGCCTGGCATGCAACAGTGACAGCCTTTTAATGGAGTGCCACCAAAGGGACTAAGGCCTTTGGCATGTCAGAACAGCAAGTCTCCTGGAAGACTGGGGTCTGGGGTCATCCCTGCCTTAGGGTCTTGTCTGGGTGTAGGCTGTCTGGACCCTATATCTGGGGTGGGCCTGTCACCTTTCTGTTTTTAACAATTTTAGTTCATCCACCTGTCCATATCTGGGCTTTATATGAATACCCCCACTTTTTTGTCTGTGTCCTTGGCCCACCTGCCTGTTCCCTTTCCAGATTCCAGGCATGTAGTATTGCCATTTTCACATGGGGCAGCCATCTGTTGAATGGGCAGGTTCCCAGATCCTTTTGGATTGGAGGATGTCCATGGGCCTGTCACAGGCCTTTGAAAAGCCAACAGGGCTCACCTGTCTGGATGGCATTCAGGGCAGCATTCTTCTCCCATTGGAAAAGATGATTCACCTGTGCATCAAAGTCCTTTCTGTGCATTGCCTTAGTCACTGCCACCAGCTCTGCCTGCTTAGCAGGGACCACTGGGCAGACTGTGTAACCTGGGAAGGGAGGGTCTGAGTAACCAGTGGGAAGTCAGGAGGCCCTAAACCTAAGAGAAGGGGCCATGTCCAAGAGTAACTCAGTCTCCTCCTTCTGGGGGAGATAAAGAACAGTGGACAGTGGTGAGGACAGGGGAAAGGGCAGGAGCAATTACGGCTAACTCCTTTCTTCCCCTTCTTCTTGCCCAGCTGGTGTCCAGGATGCGCTGTGTGAGCAGTGTTGTCACTGGCATCCACTCCCTCCTCATCCTCTCTTGCCTCTTCCTTCTGCTTTGCAGATGTGTCCATGTAGATCTGGGTTGAAGGGCCTGGAAGGGAGTTCTTTGGAGGACTTTCAGATTCAGAGACCTGGGTGAACCCCCTTGACCATGAGACCTTATTGGAAGAAGACTCAGGGGAGAGGTCTTCCCTCAATGCATCAGAGGAAGACACAGAGACAGGGCCTACTGATGGGAGATGAAGACTAAGGTGTTTCTCTGGGACCACTGAGATGTGGCTATCCAATGGACTCTCAGAGGTACGGGTCTCCAAAGGGATCTCAGAGATGGAGTGTCCTAAAGAGGTCTTAGAGTTGGAAGCCTCCAGATGGGTTTCAGAGGTGTGGGTACCTAATGGGGTCTGTGAAGGGGATGGCACCAAAGGGGATTCAGAGGTGTGGGTCTCTAATGGGGTCTGGGAAGGGGATGGCACCAAGGGGGATTCAGAGGTGTGGGTCTCTAATGGGGTCTGGGAAGGAGATGGCACCAAAGGTGATTCAGACATATGGGGCTCTAAAGGGGTCTCAGAGATGGAAGGCTCCAAGAAGGTTTCAGAGATAGGGTCCTCCTGTAAGTCCTCAGCAGAAGGGTCCTTTGAAGAGGGGTGCTCCTCTGCATCCATGGTGGTATGAGGCTCTTCTGTGACCTCGTCTGCTTCCATCTAGTGGTAGAATAGGGTACAGGCTTCATTAGGTTGGGATTGGAGGGTTGGCATTCAGGGCAGAGCCTAGGATTCATGGGACATTATGGAATAAGGATAAAATTCTCAGTGCACCTGAGATACAAGAGGGAAACAAGATGAGCTCTGGGTCTTAGGGTATGATGCCAGGAGGTTCACCCATGTGTCCAGACCTCATATGGCATGCTGCTGTGGGTTTTTAGGGAGTTAGAGTTTAAAGACTGAAAGGCTGAAGTAGGCAGAATCCCATCAGTAGATGGTAGCAGAGAACCATGCCCCAGGAGGGAGCCCAAACAGAGCCACTTGGCTAGTTCAACAGCAGGGTCCTTGGCATACCTTAAGACACTAGAAGTCTAGCTCTGAAGTTCCAGAGACTGGGAATACCAAGCCAAAGTTGAGGTTGGCTCCTGAGAGTGCAGGAGAATGCAATGATGCATAAGTCAAAGCCCTGTACATAGTCTGGTTTTGTCTAGGGACCACACACATCCTCCCTTGATGATGCCATTGATGTTCAAGGCTTCAACTACTTCTGGCTGTATGCTGATGATTCCTAAATCCATATTTCTAGTTCAGATCTTTTTCGACTCCTGTACTTCACATTCATACCCAATCGCCTGCTGGACATTTCTAACTGGGTATGCCCACAGGCATCAAAACAGAACGCTGGGAATTATCCTAGTCGTCTCCTTTTCCCCAAGCACCCATCTTCAAATAGGCACCAAGAACTATATTTCTCATCTTCTAAATATTCCCAAAATGCATTTTCTCCTTTTGTTTCCCTCCAATTTTATTCAAGTTTTCATCATCTTCAGCCTGGGTTGTGTAATAACTTTGCCCCTCCAATGCCATCCCCAGCATATTAATCCATTCCCCCTTTCCTTCATTCATTTATGTAACTTATACTTTTACAAAGAGCCTAAGCATTCAATTTTACTCAGGCACTGTGCTAAGAGCTGGACTTGGTTGAGTCTGGGAGAGAGATGGGTTAACCAAAAATGACAATACAAATGAATTGATGTTGTGCTGGGGTGAGATTGGGATGCTGTGGGGAGGCGGGTATGCCTAATTTATGCTGGAATCATATAGTCCTCCTTCCTGACCCAATCAAGATCTTTCTAAAATGCAAACCCAACACTGGCATCCCATGGCTTAAAAACATTCAGTGACTCAGCCTAAAGGATTAAGTCCAAATATCTTGGCCCTGACATTCAGGGCCTGTCATCATTTGCAACACTATCTGAGGATTCATTTCTGCCTTAACTTGCCCTGTTCTCTACCTTCTCCCCATGCTCCAGAGACAACAGATACATCCCTTCTTAAACTGATCAGAGCCTTTCTGAAGCAGAAGTTTGGGAAGGGAAGTAGAGGCAGAGAGGTAGGAGGATGGGGAGGAAGATGACCAGAATCTGCTAAAGGGGAAGGGACCCGAGTGCTGCGAACCAGAGAGTGGGAGGAGAGGACAGGGAAATAGAAGGAGAGGAGGAGAGTGGGTGGAGGGGAGGGTAAGCATGGAAAGTACAGAGGGGAGGGGGTTGGACTGAGGGGTGGCAGGAGCACAGAGGTGTTAGGAGGGAGCACGGGATGGAAGTTTGGAGGGAAGGGCCACTGGAGAAACTACATACCTCTGGGCTTTGGCTTGGTTGTTACAAGTCCTTAGGTCAGGGTCTTGCCTTCGGATGCGAGGGGAGTGTTGGTCCCGAGGGCTGAGTGTTGAAAGGCCCTGCCTGAAAGTCTATTTGAGGGAGGGGACTTGGATATCTGCACAGCTTCACAAAGGAGCTCTGACCTGGGGAAGGGTGGAAAGGGAGAAGGACAAGGGGGTTCGGGGCCGATGAAGGAGGGGCTTGACTGAAGCTTCTGGAACCGCGGCCGGGAGAGGAGGGATCCGTCACCAGAGCAACTGGAATGCCTAGTAGTGTCTAGGGCAACAGCAGTCTGGTCACCTTCCTAGCGGGTGAGGTCTCCTGAGGGGGCTGCATTGGGTCCGGAGGGGCCGAACCCAGAGGGTCCGCTTCTGAAAAGGGGGGTTTTGCGGGATCTCTGTGAGCAAGTCTCTGGGTAGGATCTGCGGATATGTCTGGGTACGTCCGTGGGGAGTCTGGGATTGTGAAGGTCTCTGTAGGATTCCTCTGAGATATCTGTGGGGCGGTCGGTGGAGGCTGTGAGGATGTGAGGGGGGTACTGGGGCTCCGCGCTTGGGGTGAGAAGGGCAGGATCTCACGGAGCTGGGGCTGGGGCGGAGTCTGTCTGTCCTCCAAGCCCAGCAGGACTAAGTTAGAGACCAATAGAATAGGACAGGGGGCGGGCTTTACTGAGAGGGACCAGTCCAACCGGTCGGGGGGCGGAGCGTCACACTGACGTCAGGCCGAGGCCGCCGCCGCGGGGCCTGGTTATCGCCGGTTCAGCGCAGCCCGGAGTCGCCCAGGCCTGAACTCCTACCCAGGTCCCCGGCCCCGGCCCCGGGCCCGCGAGGACGCCGGAGGCCACCCCCAGGGGGTGGGGAGCGGAGCCGCGGGTCAGCTCTGCGAGCGCCCCGCGCTGGCCTGTCCGGCCCCGCCCCCGCCCCGGGCCATGGCCCAGCCCTTGTCCCGGCCCCTCGTCCTATCCCGATCCCGGCCTTGGCCCCCGGCCCCGCCCTCGCTCCGCTTCCCAGATCGGCCCCGACCCGGGCCTGGGTCCCAATCCAAGCCCCCCTTCCAGTTCCTGCCCCTGACCTGGCCCGCATCCCCGACTCGGCCCCTGTTCCACTCCCTGTCACAAATCCCAGCCGAGTCCCTGTCCCAAGCCCATTCCCAGTGTTTACTTAAGGCCCTGGCTCAACCCCGGCCCTTGCTCCAGTCCCCATCACAGCCCCTCCTTCCATCCCACCCCCTGCCCTTGTTCAAGCCCCAGTGCCCAGCCCAGCGCAACCCATTATCTCAGCCTTTGCCCTCATCTCTGTGTTTACCCAAGTCTCTCCCACTAGCACCCCCCCTCTCTCATACTCTGCCCCTCTCCCAGCCTAGACTCAGGTCTGGGCTCCAGCTGCCGCCAGCCCTATTGCTGCTGTTGCTGTTCTCTGTCCTTGGCCCAGGGGCTGGTGAGTGCAGAATCAGGAAAGATCGAGGCAGGAATGGGGTTCTGGCAGGGAGGGGTGGGCTGGAGAGATACAGGAGAGGTGGGACCTGGGCAACTAGGTCATTGGGGAGCAAGTGGGGAGAAATAGTGAGGAGAGAGGTCTTACACAACAAAGGGATTGGCTTTGAGGCTCAGCAGGTGGTTAATAATTACTAGGACAGAGACTCAAGATTTTCTTTTCTGGTGTCTATCCTGACCCCATTTTGACTCTTGCTTTCCAAGGGAAGTCTTGAGGGCTTTGCTTCTGCTCTCAAAGTTTGATGGGGGAGACATAGTCCCACACCAGAAGCCTCTAATCCAGTGTGGGAAGATACAGCCTAAACATTTGAGATATTGGGCATGCATTCAAACAAGGTTAAGAAAACAGTTTTGAAGATAACATGTAGCAAACAGATGGACATGGATTAGCTGCTGTTATAATGAGTTTCTTCTTGTAATGAGTCCTGTTCCAAACAAGCTTGATTTGCCTAGGAATAATTCCTGATACTTTTAGAGCAGGGTTGGAACTCAGAGGCCATTTTATAGATGGGGAAACTGAGGCTTGGCAAGGGAGCAATTTGTCCAAAGTTATATAGCTTGTAAATAGCTGTGCTGGGGCTAGAAAAAGAGGTTTCCTAATTCCTATTCCATACTAGTGTTTTTTTGTACTGCAATATACAGCTAATAGGAAAACAGACCCAAGTAGGGAAAAGCTCAAAGCACAACATCTCTTCTCCCGTCTGCCCACAGGGTGGCTTCATCCACAAACTCCTCCTCATTTGTCAGGTATCAGCCAAGGGCCACCATCTGATGAGGAAGTGACTTGGCTGGGAGAGGGAGAGGCCCAAGTTTTTAATGGGTGGAATGTGGGAGGAGAAAAGGGGGTCCTGGTCTAGGGGATGTACCATAAAAATGGCCCTATCATGAAAAAACTATAGTCTTCATGGCCCCAGCCCCCAGCCACCACTGGTGAGTGTCACTCTGGCTAGGATGGAGATGTACCTGATGGAAACTGGGCAATAATAGCTAACAGAGCAGCTTGGGGTTGGGGGTGGGTTCCAGTGAGCTCTGAGGGCCTGGTTCATTGTACAAACTTTAGGAGATCAATGTACGTCAAAGGTCACAGCTCCTGCAGAGATGCCTGGTCACTAATGTGTCTGTGTATAACTGAAGGATCTGTGGGAATGCTGGCATATGCCACATGTGTACTGCTGTGTGTTGGTGAGTGTAGACACATGTATGTGTGTGGGGTGCATGTGAGCTGGTGTATCTTCTGAGTGCCTATGTTATTGTGTGAAGGGAAGGGGACATGTTGTGGCCCATGCACATCTTCTTTAGCTCTGTCTGCTCCTCATACGGACAGATCCGTGAAGCTGTGAATGGGGCTGTGGGCCATTTCTCAGAGGAGGATAGTTCCTAGGATGAAGGCAGTGTTGGGTGCCTCCCACAACATATATAAGTAATCCATCCACCCCCAGCCAATCTCCTTGCAAGAAGGAGCCATGGGAGTACTCAGCATTGGTTACTGCTGCTAGAAGTTGGTCACTCGGTGGAGGCAGAGCCAGTCAGGTTTTCAGTTTTGATGAGGGGGAGTCCATACTGTTGAGCCCAATTCGTAGCTTCCATCCCTGCCATCATGGCTTCTTCGTTCATGAGCCCATTGGCAAACACTGGGCTGGCTAGGGAAGGAGAGTGACTAATTGCCATAGAGCATATAAAGCTGCAAGTTGTGGATAAAAACACAAATGCCCAGAAGCAGGTTCAGGTGCTTTGGGGAGAATTGTAATGAAGTTGGAAAAGAGTACCAAATAGGCCCACCTGCAGGCAGGGCTGCCCTCAGTGCTGTTAATAGTCAGTGCCTTGGCAATTGTGGCCTGGAGCGCGGGGTGCTGTGTGACCTAATGGTGGTGCTGAGTTTTGTCTGAGGAGAGGCTGGCAGTGTTGCAGGACCATCATAGCACAGGCTGCACAAAGCTTATTGTTAACTTCAATCTCATTTCAGGAATGGACATTACCTCCTGGGTTTCCTAGCCCCATGCCTGATCCTTGGATCTTTTCCTTGGGTTTAGTTGACTGCAGTTGATATCCTGGGCATGCCCTGCCATTCCAAAAAATAATCTTTTGCTCTACCTAGTGCTGTCACTAGCAGGGCCAGCCTCAGCCTGTATGTGTATGTGCTTGCGTGTGTGTGTGTGTGTGCTTTGGGTGGTGGTAGGGAATCACTGTAGCTTCATTGTAGAAATACTGGAACCTCCAAGAAAGGTTCTTCTGAGCTTGGCCCAGAAGCTTTACTCATGCTTCCTGTGGACACAGCCCCAGTAGGCCCCATTCAAATCTTAAACCAAAGGTGAATGGGGCTGTGGACCCTTTTTCAAGCATCTGCCCTCACAACTTCTTCCACGTTCCTCCCAGAGTTCTCAGCTCTGGCTCACTCCTTTTTCCCACTGGCATATTTTGTGACCTCCATGGTCCCTGGCCACTTTGGGGATGGCTTAGCTAGTTTCACAGTTCTCCAGGGCCTACCATGATCCTTTGAAGCACAGAGATCTTTGTGCTTGTCTATCCATGTTTCCCAAAGATCATTCACTAGCTCTCTGAGAGTCTGCACTGAGGGACTGACCAACATTTCTCCAACAGTACCAACAGTACCAATGACTGATCAGATGACCCATCCTTGGTGCCAGCTTTGAGGCAGAGCAGCCCTCTCCTAACCCCAGCAGAGGGTGCTCCAAGTTCTAATTTCTTCTAACAATAGTAGAAATTGGCTGTTCAACTCTTGGCCTTCTGCCTCCCCAGTTATCGCAGCCATGGCTCCTAGGAAACCCATCTTCCCCATCAGTTGGTTCCATTTCCTTCATCCCTCTCAGGCTCTGTGAGCCTCTCTGGGTTCCTGGGCAGTGCTCAGCCTGCAAGGTGGCAGGTCTTCCTTGCTGACAGTTTAGACTGATCATGTGATCTGAACTTGACAGACTTGTCCTTGGGCTTAAACATGGCCTTTGAGCATGAGCACAGGCCAGTCTAGGGCCAACGGCCTCCACTTACGTAGGGCAGCTCCCTGGAGGGTGACTCCTGAGGTTGCTCCAGTTCAGTGCGGCCAACCATAAACAGTGTTCCTCCTTCAGCAGCCTCCCTTTCCCTTTCTCTTTCTCTTTTATTGGAAAAACCCTTCATTGTTGGAGTTATCTCTCCCATCTAGAGAGGGGGAGATTGTCAGACTAGGTAAGCCTTTTGGGTATTTCCTACTTGCCTGAAAACTCCCCTCCAGGGTCTCCCCTACCCCTGGCCCCTGGTCTGTACTGAAGCTGCTGAGTTCCCCACCTTCTCACCTATCCTGGAGCCATCCTCCTGGGCTTCTTTGGGGCTTGTCTGAAATCTCCAGAGCAGTCAGATTCCCCAGAGATTTACTCCGGGGACCTCACCTGCCATTGGGGCCCCTCTATCCCTATGCCGCTGAGCTACTGGGTTACCTGCACTATTATAGCAGTTCTACCCCCATGCATTTTGCCTGGCTCGCTGCTGACATGACTTCTGCTCACCTGGGCTCTGCTCCTGACAATCATAATCAGGTATCTCTGCATTTCAGCTGGAGATGACCACTTCCTCCCCACCTCCCAACCCGGCCTGCTCTGAATATTCCCAAGTGGTTTGAGATTCCAGTGGGTCACCAACTGACTGCCTCCCTGGACCTCCCTCTGGGGAAACAGCCTCCCTGGCTGCACATTCTGACCCTAGAGGGCCTGATGACTCTCCTTTCCTCCTTTCCTGGGGACTCTCATGGTGGCCTGCCAGCCCCTGTCCTTGCTTCTGCCACCCAAGTAGGCCCCTTGCAGCCTTACCACACTTTCTCCTCCCTTCTCCTGCCCTGAGCCAGCATACAGACAGCTCTTGTGAGGCTTCTGAGGGTTTTTACAGCTCCTGACCACAGGGGAACAGAAAGGGGAAGAAAATAAACAAGGAAGTCACACAGTTCCATACTGACTCCCAAGCTTCACAGGTGGAGTTCTAGCCTGCTCCGTGGCTTAGGAGTCTATGCCAACACACACATACACACACACACACACACACACACACACACACACACACACACACACACCCCTTCCACACCTCTGTTTTGTTAGGCTTGGTAAGAGGAGACAATGGCTCCTAAGTGAGGGGCAGCTGTGAAGTCATAGAAAGGGTCCTGGTTTTGGATTTAGACAGAGCTAGGTTTGAATCCTCAGTTTGGTCTAGGTTTGAGCCTCAGTTTCCTTATCTGTAAAAAGAGGTTATTATTTTTTTTAGGTCACTGTAAGGATTTAGCCAGATGATGGCCAGGGCAGCACGAGATCCAGTCGCTGGCTCAGAGAACATTGTTGAGTTGGTGCTATTGCTGAGAAGACTGGCATGCCTGTTGCTTAATGGAAATGCCCTCTGTCCTGCCCTGCTCCTTTCTCTTTCTCCTGCTTCCCAGGAGGCCTTTTCCTGACTGATTACTCCACCTGCTCACCCCGCAAGCTGAGTCCTTTCCGCTCCTTTGCCAGCACCGAGCTCTTCCACTTCCATGTTCCTGAGGACACGTTCCTGGCTGTTTGGAATCTCATCATCTTCAAGGAGCAGGGGGGAACCTTTGGGGACCACTGCCCAGACCAAAGTGTGACTGTGTGAGTGCCTGAGTTAACCTCCTGACCCCCACTTCCAACCCCAGACCACTTTCCAAACTAAAGTGTGACTTTGTGAGTATCTGAACTGACCTCCTGACCCTGACCCCACTCCCATCCAGATTGAAGTGTGACTGAGTGAAGGCCATGACCTCTGTCCCCTGACCACTTCCTAACTACTGTATGACTGTGTGAGTGCCTGAGCTGACCTCTTACCCCTTATGGCCTGACCCCTGACCCAGAACCACCTTGTTGTATGTGTCGGTATAGGGAATCCACTTGTACTGGTGATGAGTGACAGTTCTCCTTTCTTTTCCCCATTTCCTGCCTCCTACCCCATTGCCTGCTTTCTTCCTCTCCTAACTCTGGTCCCCCAGGTACTTCCGGTCCGGGGCACCCCCTGTCATCAATCCCCTGCACACACATTTCCCAGGGGACACAGCTGTGCCTGGGGTTTTCTCACTGACTCTCAGCTGGACATTGCCCAACCGCACCTCAGGCATCTTTAACGTCAGCAGCCCCTTACCTGGGGACTGGTTCTTGGCTGCCCACCTTCCCCAGGCCCACGGCCACATCTCTGTCAAGGTGGGTTGATGCTGCCCAGGGCAGGAGGGGCCAGAGCTGCCCTTCCATCTCTGCTGAATTCCCTCCACAGACTCCTTGGCACACCAGCTTTGTGCCAAGGTGGGCAACAGCACAGGGGTGGCTGGGGTGGGACATGGCTAGAGGCCAGCAGGTCACCCAGTGGGCCAGAGGCCAGGATCTGCAGGCGGCAACTTGGGAGCCTTAGGGGGACATAATGGGCCCAGGTAAGCTGAGGGGAATGCTGAGGGTCTGGAATCAGAGGCTCTGGCACTGGGAGTAGGTTCCCTTCCTATGGGAAGGCACAACGGCTAATCAAGGTGGTCAGAAGCTAACTACAGACTGGTCAAATCTGCTGCACAAACCCGCAACTGGTCTTAGTCTACATCTTGATTGATGATAGCTCTGAAGACTCTCTTAGGTCACAGCCCAGTCTTTAGTGCATCCTGGAGAATGCATTCCTCTTCCATCATCATTTCAGGCAGCTTCCCACGCCCTACGGAACACCATAAGAGAAGCCTTTTCCTGTTAAAAGGAGGCTTTGGGCAGCTGGTGTTCATCCCGACTGTCGCCTTCCTTTCCTCTAAATATCAACTACCCAGGGCTAGCTTTCACAGAGCAGAGGTTATCAAAGTCTGAAGGGCAAGTTCAGAGGTCAGGACACTTCTCTGGTTTGGAGCAGAAGGAAATGCTACAATGTTTTCCTGCCACTCTCATGTGTTACACAGGCCAGACTCCCTCCTTGTAGTGAGGGGATCTATAGGTTTCCTACTCCTGTTCACTGGAGGAGAAGGAGGGTATAATGAGCTGCCACTCATCAGAGTGAAATGACCATGTATGGGGTCTGTGGTAACGTTGAAGGACCAACCACGAGCAGAGCGGGGACTTAAGCACAGGACATTGTAGAACAAGAAAGCTAATGGGGTTTATTGAGAATTAGGAGGGGCAGAAATTCCCAATCAAGTGTAGATTTTACTCGGCTATAGCTCCAAGGCTGAGTTCCTTGACGGCAGGGACTCTGTAACTGTGTTACACTCACCTCTTCTCCTCCTGCTGTGGCCCAGCATTCAGAGCAGGTGTCAATAATGCCTTTGAATGGGCCGAGACATACACAAGGACAAATGCCTGGTACTGCTCTGGCTCAGGTAGCATCTCTAGGCCTCAGCGATAGGGCTGTTTTTCCTGAGAGTGATTTATAAGAGAACTCCTGTCAAGGCCTGGGAACCTCTGGATGAGAGCATGTTGGGAGCTCACCTGGGCAAGGCTGTGGGTTCTAGGTAGGCCTTGGCTCCCATCAGAACTAAGGGATCTTCTGTTAGAAGGAATGCCTTCATAGGTTTTTGGCCAAATCCCAATGAGCCTGTCCCCAATCCCAACTCTAATCCTTTATTACTTTGTAAGAGCTGACAGGGAAAATCCTCGTGAAGCCCTGCTCTAGTTATATAAAAACATTTCTGAGTGACCTGGAGGAACCTGGGGCCTAGGCCTGGGCTGGGATTGTGGGAGCTGAGGCCTAGCTGGAAGTGGTCAAGGTTGCTCATGGCTGCCAGAATGGGACAATGGGGAATCAGAGGTAGCAGTACAGAGAAAGGCTGCTCAAAACCTAAATGGTGATTCAAAGCGCCCAGATCAAAGGGAGCTGGGCAGTAAGAAGAACGAGGCCCGACATGTCCATTTGCATCTAGATACAGCAAGTGGGGCCTGAGGGACTGGTGCCGAAACTGGAGTGCTGGCCAGCAGAGCTCCCCAGGGGAATGGTGGGACTACAGAGAAGAGGGCACAGTTCTATCTTGCCTGTGAGTGGCAGTGGGTCTGGACATGATGGGAGATGTAGCTCTTCAGTTAGGCTACAACCTGTTCTAGAGGTTGGTGGGGCAAAGATTTTGTCTGGTTCTTCTAAGAATTTGATTAACTTCTGGAATCTTATTTGGGCCTCTAGGCATTCTTAAGTTCTCCAGACTCTGGTTAATTTCCCAGACTCAAGCCTTTGAGTTCATTGTCCAGAGCATTCCTCCATCTTCTCAACTTGTTTCCTCCTTGTACCATGGTTCTGACTTCCTGTGAGGCTTGGCAAACACAGGAAGTTATGTAGGTTCAGGGATAGCCTTTGATGGGGACTAAAGAGTCCTAGCAATAAGAAGGCAGTGCTGTTTCTAGGGCTCTCCTCAACTTTGGGGATGAGCCTAGATCTCCCTTTAGGCCTTAGTCCTTTTGTACCTGCTTTGTGCCAGGCCTTGGATGGGCACTGGGGACACAGAGCAATAAGATGTGTATTAGTGGTATACAGGAGATGTTTTAAGAGGATAAAGGAGAGATGGCTAACTCAACTTGCTAGCATGGTGGAGGTGGTATTAGGATACTGTTAGGAAGTGGAGCCTGAGGTCAAGAAGGCAGGGAATGGCATCCCAGGTGGTGGGAGTAGCATGGGCCAAAATTTAGCAAGGGGAACTGAAGTTGTTCGGTGTGGGCCAGGTGTTGGGGTGGGTGAGGGAGGTGGAGGAGTGAGAGGAGGCCAGATGATGAAGGGCCTGGAAGTTTGAACTGTATCCTTCTGTATATGGAGGCTTGAAAAGTTGTAAAAGGGAAGTGACTTGTTTGGTCCAGGCTACTCTCCTGACCTCCAGTCCCACACTTCTGCTAGACCCTGTGTCTGTATTACTCACTACATATTCCCAGCACCCAGCACATAGCCTGGCGTGTGGTGGGGGTTTGGCAAATTTTTATTGCCCTTCTGCCACCTTCTCAAACTCAAAGTGTCACAAACTGATCTCATTTCTCTGCCTTTCCTTGTCCCCTTGGGGACAACCACTTGTGTCTTGCCCCCATGCCTCCATCTCCTTGTCTTTCCTGTTTTGAAGCACATGTTCATTCTGAGGTGTCCAGCTGCCAGTCTGCCCTGAGGGGCTGGCCTTTGGGTTGTGGGTACCATTTGGCACCCAGATGGCTCATAAGGGGAACGTTCTCCCAAACACTGGGGCACAGGTTCTCCTTGAAGCTTCCTCTTCCCAGGTCTCAGATTTGAAAGTAAGTAAAGGTAGGTAAAATAATGAAAAACAACTGCAAGGAGAGCAAAGAAGCAAACTGTACAGAAGAAAGGATTCTGTTGAACCCACACGCTAGCACCAAGCATGACTCAGTATCTCAACTGAAGTGGTTAAAATCTGCTGCTGCTTCTGCCTTTCCTCCTCCTTCTAAAGTATTTTATTTATATTTAAAATTGGTAATATATGCTCCTGGTACCACATTTGAAAGGTACAAAAGGCATGCAGTGGGAAGTAAGTCTTCCTCTTCCCTTTTCCTTCCAGTCTCCAGCTGTCCTCCCCAGAATCAATTAGTGACTAGCTTTTAACTACTTCCTTACATTTCTTTCTTGAAATACTTTCTTCTCTTGGCCTTTGTGACTTTACAGAACTGTCTGGTTTTCCTCCTGCCCACTGCTCACTCCTCTGTGTCCTTTCCTGGCTTCTCCTCTGCCTGATCTATACTTGTTGTGGCCCAGTGCTTGGTCCTGGGGCAACTTTTTAAAAATTTTTCCATTCTCTTGCTTGGTGTCTCTGGCACAATAGTTTAAAATACCATCTGTAAGTTCACACCTTCCATGAGTATTCAGCCAGTCTTAATTTGTTTAAATCTGAGACTTTATATCCAACTGCTTACTTGACATCTTCAATGGGATGTCTCAAACTTAGTATGTACAAATCAAAATGAAGCTAAAAGTAAAAACTATTTAATTCCCAGTTCACTTCTCCCAGTCCAAGCCTCTTCTTTCTCTTGTTGTTGTCATCTTCTCAGTAAATGACACTGTCATCCACCAATTGCACAAGTCCAAAATTTAGGTGTGATCCATGATTTCTCTTTATCCCTTATTTTCTCACAACCAGTCCATAAAGAGAAAGTCTTATTGACTTTACTTCTAAAACATGCCCTGAAAGCATCTACTTCTCTCCATTTCCTCTCTCAGCACACCTTCCCCCAGCTTTCTCCTGGGCCACCACGGTGGCCCTAAATGGTCTCCCTACAGTCTGTCCAGCACTCATTTACTGCCATGTTGATTGGTGCTGGCTGACCACGGGCAGGGGCTATGCTGGGTCCTGGGCTGTTCCCACAGAGAAGACGTCTCCAGTCTGCAAGCCCCACCCATAGCCTGGCACTGGCCACTCTACTTGGGTCTTTCTAAAGAAACCCAGAGCCCACCCATACAAGGACATTCTAGGAATCCATCTACCTTGCCTTCCACTCCAGGATTTTTCAGACTGTATCCACTTCTCACCTTTGCTACCCCTGGTTTCTTGAGCTTCCTTGCTTTGGCCTTGTTCCTTCTATGATGGCTGATGTTGGTTTAGCCTGTTGACTCGGTTTGGACTCTTTCACTTGGCTTCTGCCTTGGCAGCTATTAAGGACCTGACTAATGGTGGCCTTTCCTTGGCCCCATCACAGGGTGAAGGTCCCTGTACTTCCCTGGTATCCACTGTCTGAACAATCCCTCCACATAAAGCGAGGGGGACTGGATGTGCACATTATACAGTTTAAGGAAAGAGCACATCTTAACCAGATAGGTCATGTCCACTGATCCTTTGGTTAAGTCAACCACAAGCAAAACGTGGAGCCAAGTGTTTCTTCCCTTGGACTGTCTAGCCAGGAGATAGTCCACCTCCTGAATGTGAGCCCCTACCCTTGGGACTCATTCATTGTAAGATTGTTGTGGTGGTGATTCCTGCCTTAGGAGATGGGGTCAATGACAATGACTTGTGAGAGTATTTCTGGTCCTTAGGGTTTGATACCAAAGATGAGGGACCTCTGCTTTGGACATCAGAGATGGAAGTTTCTGAGCAGCTAGGTCAGTTGAAGAGCTCTCTGAGGGGCCCACTGGTTGACACCCTTCTTTAACTCAACAGCTACTTTAGCACCTGGCGTGAGCCAGCTGGTGTGCTAGGCACTGGGGATACAGTGAAGCAAAAGGCACAGACCCTCTTCCAGCCTTGTGGAGCTTTGCTGGAAGCCAGTATCTTGGCTGGCTTGTTCCATGCCTTGGAACTCAGTGGGATGTCAGGGCCTGGAATTTTTGTCCCAAACAGAGTTTGGAGTCTGTCCTGGTCAGAATAATCACATAAGTGAATAGTGGCTTCTGGTTTGTTGGGCTAGCATGAAGCCATTTGTCCAGAAGGTCAGAGAAGCCTAATTAGGAGCCCCCGCCTCCTCTGAACTGTGAGGTTTGTAGGGCTTTTATAGCTGCAAATGCTGCAGCAGGAAACAGTAACAAAAGTGCTCACTGAGGAGTGAGGAGGCTGTGTGGGCCAAGAGTGGTGTCAGCAGAGTAGAGGAGCAGGGGCTAGGGATTTATCCAGGAGAAGAGAAGCTGGGGGAGACGTGGTTGTTCTCCTCCAGTAAGAGCAGAAACACAGTCTGAGGCTGATTGAGCAGACTGTCTGTGGGTCCCCTGATGGCAGCATGGAAGGAAGGGAGCCAAAGATGTTGGGCTCTGGCTTCATTAAGGTCAGAGCTGCTGTCAGCTGGGCCGATTCATTTATTGTTTCATTTATTCAGCCAACATCCACCTGTGAGGTGTGCACTCTCTGTTAGACCCTGTGTGTGGAGAAACAAAAATAAAATAAGACAAGGTTCATGTTCTCAAACTGCTGATAGTCTGGAGGTGGCCTGGGAGGTCATGAATGGCCCTTCATCAGGAGTGTTAAAGCACTTGGAAGGGTGCAGGGTGAGGAATGAAGGGAACTAAAGGGTCTGACTGGTGGTGGTGGTGGAGGGGGTTGGACTGGAGGCCTTGAAGGAGCTTTCCAACGCCCCCCAAAGAGCCAGTGTTCTGAATTCCTGGGGCCCGGGTGGGAGAATGGGCTGGTTTGAGATTACAGTGCTGTGGGGCTGGCCAGGAATGCTCGGGGAGGAGGGGTGAGACTGGGGTAAGGGGTGGGCGAGGCCTATTGTCAGGAGGGCCTGGGTTGGAGTCCAAAAACAGCCAGCAGACCCTGCAGACTGAGGTAGGATACAGGTGATCAGAAATAACTGCCCAGGCAGAAAGGACTCAGAGCTTAGAGAGACCTCGATCAGAGCAGGAGGCCAGAGGGGCTTCCTCCCTGGGCAGTCCAGTAGGTTGTTTGCCTTGGTTTAGCAGCACCTCTGCCGTCTCTCCTTCCGCCACTCCTGCTTTTGTCTCAGGGTCTCCAGGATGAGTGTCAGTACCTGCTTCAGCCGCAGCTGATCGTCCGGCGCTTGCTGGACGTGGCTGTGCTGGTTCCTGGCCGTCCCTCAGAGCAAACCCTCTCCCCCCACAATCGCTCAGCCCTGTACAAGTAAGTCGACTACTCCCCAAAGCTGGCCCTTTCCCTCTTCCTTCTCTTGGCTTCTCAGCCTGCCTGCCTGGTCCTGCTCTCCCTCTGGCCAGACTGGACCCAGAGCCCCCAGGGTGGGTGGGATCCCTGCCTCCCCCTCTCCCACAGGGAAACACCTGACAAGGCCTGCTGTATCCCTGTGTCTCCTGCCCTCTCTATGCCCCCTTCTTCCTAGTGTTTCCCTCATTCTGGTGTTCCTCTTACCTCTGTTTGTCCTTTCTCACCCCGCCCTCTCCTCTGCCCAGGGTCTTCGTGCCCAGCTTCACGTACAGGGTTTCAGCGCAGCTGGTGTGTGTGGGGGGCCGTGGGGTGTCTGCCTGTCCCCTGACACTGCGCCTACGTCCCAAGGCCCCACCCCTGCACAACTCAAGCTCTGTGGCCTGTGGAAGTGCCTCGGTATGCCAGCTGGAGCTGGCACTGCCCCCCTGGGGACACTGGGTCTATGTTCGTGTGGAAACACCATCCCGGGGCTCTGGCAGGACCATCCGCTTCCAGCTGTGTGTGCGGTTGCAAGGTCAGAACTCCCACATCTGCCCCAGCCACCCAGCCTGTGCAGACATCCATGGCTGGGAAGTGACTTGGGTGGCTGTGTTCAGTGACCCTTGGCCACGTCCCTATAATCTCCCCTCCTGTGCCCAGGCTCCCTCACAGTCCCTGAAGTCCTCCCACTTGGAGTTCCACATCATGGGAAGGCTTTCAGATCATTTTTTTACCTGACTTGGGACAACTAAAGGACCTCATTACTTTCCTTGATTTAATCTCTGTTTCAGTTTCCTGGGCTAGGCAGGGACAGCCAGGACTTCTGGGATACTGTCCTCGCCAAAACCAGTGCAAGGCAGTGAGACAGCCCGACAGTTATCTCTTCCAACAGTGTCTTCACTGCCCTTGGAGAGGGATAGATGGCCTTGGTTCCCTCCAGCATGACCTAACATTAGCTGTCACCACTAGGAAACCCCTATAACTATGGATGCCCTACACTCCCAAGGGACATTGGCTTCTAATTCTTACCCCTCCCCACCCTTTGCTAAATCTTGTCTGGCTCAGATCTGGGTTATGAGTCAGGTCGGGGCTCTGAGGGCTGCAGACCTCAACCCTGGTTTCCTCTGCTCACAGAGTGCCCGCAGCCCAGCCTGTCCCGTGCCCTAGTCCCTGGAGCTGCCATGAACATGCCTCAGTCACTGGGCAACCAGCCACTGCCCCCAGAGCCGCCATCCCTCGGAACTCCTGTGGAAGGGCCTGGGGCCACATCCCCACCTGAGCACTGCTGGCCAGTGCGCCCGACTCTGCGCAACGAGCTGGACACCTTCTCCGTCCACTTCTACATCTTCTTTGGCCCCAGTGTGGCCCTTCCTCCTGAGCGCCCAGCTGTGTTCGCCCTGAGGCTGTTGCCAGTGCTGGACAGTGGAGGCGTCCTCAGCCTGGAGCTCCAGCTCAACGCGGTACTCTTTGTGGAGAGCGGGGAGGTGCTCTGTGGGAGAGCTCGGAGGGGAAGATGTCAGGTGTGGGGGCCCTTACCTCTTCCAGGAAGCTTGTCCAGGTTACTTCCGCCCATCCTGACAATTAGCCCAATTCCAGTCAACAAACATGCTCTGAGTATTGACTGCTGTGAATGGTCAAGTCAGAGTAGTCTGAGTTTTCCCAATTTCGTAGGCTCACTTCCCACTCACTAATGGCCTTTCTCTATGGTAGTTGTCCACTTTTTCTTGCATACCTCCTATGATGTGGAGTTCGTCACCTCTTGAGGCCCTGCAGTCCATGTTTGAACAGCTCTGATTGCTAAAGATCACTTTCCCATCAACCAATCTGAGGCCTGGTCTATGGCTTGATGTGGCCTTTTATGGGACATGGCTCAAACTTTCTAGTGGTCCTGCTAAGTCAGGACAGAGCTGGCTCTTCAATCTAAAGATGTTCCTTATTTTTGTACTCAAATTCTCTCTCTGTTCTGCTAAGACTGTATGTATTTTGTGTCTGCTTGTTACCATGCCTTTGGGCAATGACAGTGAGGTCTTGATTTGACCTTGAAACTGTAGACCCCAAATTAGAGGACAGCCTCACCTGCATTCTTTCTTTCTCGGTACTCTGAGAATAGAGGCCCAACCCCCCTGCAACCCCTCATTCTTTCCCCCTCTGTGTTCTTGTTCACTCCCATTAATGAGCATGCTTACATTCCACCTGTCTGTACGCTATGACACTTGCCACACACCTCAGACAGCCTGTTCTATTTATACTGAAAGGTATATCAGCACATCTGCTCTGATCTTTCCCTCCAAATATTTTGATTTTTTTCCCTTGGATCAGACTGGATATTTGGATAAGAGAACTGCATAGCTAGAGGACATTTTTTTTTTTTGGCTTCCTCCTAGAATGACTTTCACTGAATAATATTAATACTTTGGCATATTGCTCTGGGTTTGCATTAAGGGAAGTTATAAGCAAGTTGTATGAAACTCCTGTGGTTGAGGACAGGGTGCATGACAACTCACAGTGCTCCTTCATCGAGAGTTTATCTGAGAACCTCCCCTTTGGATGCTACAATTCTCCAGAGACTCTGATTAACTTTTATCTCATGTACTCACAAATCTTCTTCCTTTGTTTTGGTTGCTTAGAAGTCAGTATCAAATACATGGCCTACATTAGGGAAGACTTTATTTTCCTATCTGATTAAATTTCCCTTGTGCATTTATTTTTATCCTGTTTTATGTATTTAATAAGCTGCGTCAAATCTTTCTTGAATGAGGTGAGCTTATGGCATCCTGTTACCTTTATTCTTGTAGACAACCCCTTACATTTACTCTTGCTGATATCTGGTTTCTTTTAATCCCAGCCAGGTTGCTACATTTAATCTCTTGGGTATTCTGTTACCACCGTTCTGTGTCTAGGATCATTTCACCCAAGGAGGAATGAGTTTTTTTACACTCCTCCTGCCTTCAGGTCCAGGTGAAGATGATGGGAAACCTGACAATTACTTTGTCCATAACTATTTAACAGTTTCTAAATCCAGTGACATCCCCCCTCCCCCCAGTAAGCTAGATAGGGCTGAAAAACAGGGTGTTCTCTCTTGCTCGGACAGAATTGAAACAATTCTGCCCAAAGAAAAGATTCAGAATTGGTCTTTGCCTTCTCATCAGTCTTTGAAAGATTTCTGCTGTGGAGGATCTGGTGTTTTCCAGTTTTTCTGTTCCAAGGCTGGAGGTGAGAGAGCAGCTTTGGCGTGGAGAGCCCAGCAGGAATGGGCTATGCGTTGAAGGTGTGGGTTAACAGGTGTAGGAGTCTGGGGGTGGCGGTGGTCGGAACTGGAGGGTGGAATGGGGGTGGTGGTGGTCACCTCCATACCTGCCTTCCGCAGAGCTCCGTGCATCAGGAAAATGTGACAGTGTTCGGATGCTTGACTCACGAGGTGCCCTTGAGCCTGGGGGATGCAGCAGTGACCTGTTCCAAAGGTGGGGTGAGGAATGGGGGAGAAGAGGAGGCAGGAAGTAGGGGTGGGGGTGTTGGAGGTGGGAACAGGGGTTCTGGGAAGTAGGAGCAGGTGGGTGAGGGTCCTTGGGTACTGACCCTACACTGACCCTTCCCCCTTCTCACTGTCCCTCTCCCTTCTTCCTTTAGAGTCCCTGGCTGGCTTCCTCCTCTCGGTCAGTGCCACCTCCAGAGTGGCCAGGCTGCGAATCCCGTTCCCGCAAACAGGGACCTGGTTCCTGGCCCTCCGCTCCCTATGCGGGATGGGGTCTCGGTGAGCTGCGCGGGGCAGGGTGGGGCGGGGCGGGGCGGCCTGGGGCTCCAGGTGACTGCGCGTGTGGCGTGTGCGCAGGTTCGTGCGGTGCCGCAATGCTACAGCCGAGGTGAGGCTGCGCACCTTCCTCTCCCCGTGCGTGGACGACTGCGGGCCCTACGGCCAGTGCAAGCTGCTGCGCACGCACAACTACCTGTACGCGGCCTGCGAGTGCAAGGCTGGTGAGCGGGCTGGCGAGAGAGTGGGCCGTGCGGGCTTCGGGGATGGCTTCGGTGGCCTGGACAGGGGTGGACGTGTGGGTCTGTGGGCAGGCGGGAGGGGCGGGGAGGGCCAACCTGAATTGGGGATGGGTTTGGAGAGAATGGGAGCGCAGAGCCAGGGTGATACCCATGGCATCGGGCTTGGTAAGAGGCCAGGAGCAGAAGTGTCTGCTGAACCCATGGCTTCCGTGTGCCCTCTTCCGCCCTGTGCTCCCCACCCGTTACCCGCAGGGTGGCGGGGCTGGGGCTGTACCGACAGTGCGGATGCGCTCTCCTATGGATTCCAGCTGCTGTCCACACTCCTGCTCTGCCTGAGCAACCTCATGTTTTTGCCACCCGTGGTCCTGGCCATTCGGAGCCGATATGTGCTCGAAGCTGCTGTCTACACCTTCACCATGTTCTTCTCCACGGTATGTGGTGGTGTCTCTGACTTTACCGTGTCCTTGTCCATCGTGGTGGGTGAGAGTCTACGTTTCCACCATGCTCTCCACGGGTTTGGGGATGTCTTCTACAGCAGTGCTTCCAACCTATCATGGCATGCTTAGAAAATGGTAAGTTTTGTAAGGCACAATCGGGTAAATGAACACAGCTGTTTGCAGCTTCATATAATTAGTGTAAGTCCCCAGCTGCTCCACACTCTGTCCACCTGAGGGCCAAGGGGACCTTTACTCAGCACACTGGCTGAGAAACTGTCCTACAGTGTGGAATTGTGTCCACACCTTCATGTTCTGGGGGGCGGGGCAGGAAATCTACACTTTCATCCACATCTGTGTGGATCACATTCTTTCGTGATGTGAGGGCTTAGCCGCTCTGGCATGTTCTCCATTGTACTGGAGATTTGTACATCTTTAACCTATTTGTTCTTATCGTATGAAATGGTGTCCCCCCCCTTCTGTCACAAGAGCTCCTTGATTTCTCATGGCATCCTTCGGAAGATAGAGGGGATATCTATGTTGGGCAATTGACGGGACAGTCTGATTTTCAGGGTCCTGAGAAACTTTTTGGACTCAGCTGTGTCCTGAGGCATTATGGGAAGTGGCAGTATGATATAAAATCCCAGCTCAAAGGAGTATATTTTGATGAAGATTAATATAATTTTAAACCTCTCTACTCCCATTACAGAATTTCCACAGTCCCTTCCTTGTGTTTTCCCACTCCTCCATAATCAGAAGAGTTATAAGCAGGCATCACAGATGTTATAAGGAAAGGCAAAGAAGTGAGTCTATAATGTGACTTAACCCCTAAGTAGACTGTTTTCCCCTTGAGGTGCCGCATCTTGGGGTCTTTTCATCTCATCTCTGGGTTCTCTGCCTCTTGTGATGTACAATGTCTGCCTGTGAGCGCTGCAAAACTCTTAAATGGATTCAGACTGTCCTCAGGCCTTGGCAACAAGGATATCACAGAAAACAAGGCATGCCTCCCTGGCATCCAGCATTACTGGGTCAGACATATGTCCAAATTACACAATCCTACTTATCATTTGGGAGACAGCAGAGGGCAAATGTGCCGAAACCGAGGGTCACGAATCTTCCCAGGGGGTCATCCACAGATGGGGAAGAGTAGGCTCTAATCATGCTGCATAGAGAGACCTTGGTCCTTTAAGCTGGGCAAGAACATATTCCAATTTTGCTTGACTGGCTCCTTTTAGGCCTTCTGCAAATGTGCCTCATTCTATTTTTATGTTAGACACTTTCACTTTCATATTGCCAGATGCCCCTTATACTGTGGCTCACCAAATTCTCCAGCAACAGCTGTTCCACCAGCCCACTCTTGGCTACATGTAGATCTAATGTGATTCACTGTTAGTAAGAGCACCTAAGTGTGTCAGGAGCCTGGAGCATGTGTGGAGAGCGTGCTCATTCTCTGGACTTGACACAAGCATCCTAGGCATTGGCTCCAGAGTGTTCACTGCTAGATGACTCTTCATCATTTGGATACTCTTCATCATTTGGCATATCAATCTGAGAGAAAAAAGACATTCCCCTTTGTAGAAACACTGGGCGAGCCTCAAGTGCCTGGCATCACGTAAAGAGCTCCACTTTCTTACCTAAGGCCAAAGAATAAGGAAAAGCTATTGGCTTTGGGGTGTTGCCTTAAGTCCTGCTCTAACTCCTGCTCTTTCTCCACATGGGCCAAAACACAGAGCTGCTGGTCCTCCAGTTTTCCCAGCAGTTTTCCCTGTTGTCCCTCCTTTGCCATTCTTTACTAAGACTTATTTCATTCTGCAGCGGGGTCCATTTAAGGACCCGTTGGTCACGTTGCAACTGTCAGTACCAGGACAGTAGATGACAGTTACCTTCCTTGTCTCCAAATAATCCAAGACAGTCTTTACCCAGGAGTAGCACATTTGTTCCTATCCAGGACATAGGAGCAGATAGTAGGTTTTTAATTCAGGAGTTAACAGATATAAAATGCATGTAAAAAACAAAAACAGTGCTAGAAACTTAGCACTTGATTTTGTATATAGCCAAACAATTCAGATAATGATAACAGCAAAATGGCATCTACTGAATGTGTGCTATGCGTCAGATGCTGCTAATTTAATTCTCATGATAGTGCTGTAATTATTATTATCTCTTTTTGTAGATGAGGGAAAGTTAAATACTTTGCCCAAGGTAGAAGGTGAGTATTCTACTGTACAATCTTGGTGAGCCAAGATTCTCACTCAGGCTGACTCCAGATGCCTCACATGTAATCACTAAGCTACATTGCTCCTCTTGCACCAGGGCAGTGAACATGCATTGATAAATTTCTAACCTGACTTCAGTTTCTTGTAAATCCTAGATTATGTACAGAAACACATGACCTTGGTTTATTAGCTCTCCCCAAATTCTTAAAAGATAAGCACCAATCAAGAGATAAGAAAATGATGTAACCAAAGCAAGTATAAAAAACCATCAGGGAAAATGTATCAGACATTTCGGTTGTGCAGCTCTAACCCATACGGTTCAAGCCACATATCCCTCACAGTGCTGCTCAGGCCCTTAGAATCAGATCCCACATCCCAGGCTATACGGCCTTCCTTGCTAACTGCTCACATCCTGGCTGTAAGCCCACCTTCTCATGACCTCTGCTGTTCCTCAGACCGTCGCAAGTAATTCTCAGTGTCCCTTGGGAAACTCCCATAACTGCTCCCAAGAGAAAATGGAAGCAGAAAACAGAAAATAAGAGAGCAACAGTAAGTTCCATTATCTCTCGAGTGCAAATATCCCAGTCTTTGCGTGGATTAAATATGTTTGCACGGATAGTTTTACATTCTGTGGTACCTGGATGTCCCATTTTGGAGCATTAGATGAACTGTAGCTATAAAAATGTAAAATTCCCCAGAAAACCCAATTTAGGATAATTTTCACAAATACTTCATAAATAATGACCAAACCTGAGGAAGTTATCGACTTAGATTGGAATTATATTAATAGAAGCCAATTTGTAGTCTAAATTTCTTTTCTTAAATTCCCTGATTTTTCTGTGTAGTTTTTACTACTTTTTTATTGCTGTTGACAAAAGAAATACCAATCGAAAAATTAGCCCACAGTTTTCAGTGGAACAATCCCCTCATACTGCAATTTTAATTTAACTCTACCCCTGTGGAGTTTTCACAACCTTAAACAATCTCTTTGACCTTTTAGTATACTTGGTGAATAACCAGTCATATAATTTTAGTGAGATGATTTCCCTAAAACCTCTCCACTCCAGAGACAGTATCTCCATTTTTCTTTCCTCTTCTTTCAGTATAGAGAAATTCTTAGGAGATAGTCAGCCCTCAATTATTCTTCTAGATATGTCTTCAATATTTGGTGATTCAGCTTGTTTTTTTTGCTGCTGATATATATCTTCCCTTATCTGAGATTGAAGGATTTGTTGTAAGTCTCTCTTGCAGAACCTTTTGGGCATTTCCTTTTAGATACTTGAAAGTCAGGCACATGGAGCCAAGTCCTTGGTTAAGCCTGAAGTGCAAAATTAGTGCTTTAAAATAAAATCCAAATTATCATAAGACAGAATTGAGTAATCTAGTGTCCTGTAGAACTTATGTCTGGTCTTAGAGGCAGAGAACAATCAATGTCCTATAGCTAAAATAGAAAAAGACCAAAATACTGATTTGTTTAGGAACTAAATTAACTCCCAGTGAATCAGCATATATAAGAGAAATAAAGAGTTGAAAAAAAATCTCTTAGGCATATTCAAACATGAATTCTAATGCTGATATGGACCCAAAAGAAAAGTCTCTGAAAATTTCCCAGTAAGAACTTATTTTTTCAATTTAATAATATATTATGAAGGAACCCTCCATGTTCCCAAACTAACAAGCCTTTTTAAAAGTCTAGGCATTCTTAGGCAGTCTTGTCCTGCGGGGACAAAATTCTTTATCTCCAAAGTGAAGGAAAAGAAAGAAGATAGACACCCACATTTAAGTCTTACAGCTTAAAATTTAAAGGAATGAAACTCAAAACTTCTCAATGCCAATTAATATCCCTAGATTTTCCTTTTCATTTTATTTTATTTTTCTAAGGTCCTACCTTCTCCCTTTCCAACTTTGTCTGTTGAAGTTATAAGTTTTGCAATTTGAATGACCAGATGAAATCTTTAATAAGGTCAAAGGAAACAGGAGCAATTTCTTTTTCATCTTTTGTCTCTAGAGACTGACTTTTGGATGTGTTTTCCAGTTCTCTTGGGGGCAACGCTGCATTTGAGCTGAATTCTGTCAGTTTTCACAGTGAACCTGGTTCACTTTCCCATTTGCTTTTCCCTAAGAGGTGGAGGATACTATTTGATTAAGGTTGGGGTGTCATTGCTTGTGATATGAATTTGGGATGTAATATTCCTTTTCCTGAATCATTCTTCCTGACCTTGCCCCCACCTTCTCAGTCTCAACTATTCAAACAGGAGACTGCTTTCTCCCATTTCTATTCTTTCCAGAAGTTATGGAGACCCCATTGCTGCCAGTGAGTGAAGGTCTTATGGCATTGCTCAGCTATCTCTTTCCTGAGCTGTGGACTGTGTATCCCTGCCTTCTACCCACAACCCAAGAACATGCCTCTGAAGGGCCTGGAGACCTGTCTCACTGACGTCTATAAGGCTACCTCTGTTTTGGGATCAGAGCCCTGTGACTTAGGGTTGCCTTTTAATAGATTATAAAGAAACTGACCTGGGCTGAAAGCAGTGCCCAAAGGACCCCTTCCATCAATGATCAAGCCACATCAAAGGCCACCTTTGGATGCCACAGCACTTAGTCTTCTGCGCAAGCTTCATTTCAGCCTGATATACTTTAGCCCAACCCTGCCTGCAACTACACCAACTTATTTCTCCTGCCACAAGATGTCTTCAGTAGCCATGGTTCCCAGAGGACCTGGAGTAACATGCTGGTGATGGAGACCAAGATTGATTCACAGAATCTTAAGAAACCTTTTTTCATCTCCTAAGGTCTGCTGACATTGTTCAAGTTCAGCTCCAATGAGTAGATTTTGATAAAGTTTATATAGGTCAGAACCTTTTTTCTCCAGTTATAGCCTTTTCATTTTCTTAACCTGTCCATCATCGTAACAACCCATTCTTCCTGATGTGGAGCAGGGTGATGTTAGATAAGAGGAGTGAGCATGCCCCTGTGATGTTTGTTCTCAATCTGGGGCTGTTTGTCCTCAGACGTCCTGTCTAGTATCTTTTCTTTTCGATGGGCTCATAAGGCACGTGATCACTAGAAAGTCCACAGAGGGATATGTGTTCTCATCATCTTTGCGCCAAAGACATCCTTACAACTATGCATGTTCTTATTGTCTGGCATCAGTAAGTACTGAAATCACATAAATTCTACCTAGAAATTCAGAGAAAGATGACAGCAAATGTTCTAAGATAAATAGAGCACAAGTTATCCCTGGACAACCCTTTACATGAATAAGAGAATGCAGGATGCCAGAAGCCGTGGTGTCGTCCAGAGAGACACAGGGGTTGGGACCACAGACCAAGGGGGGCTAATGGCAGACCTTGGTTCCTGAATTAGGATGCCCAATATAGCTTGATCCAGTTCCACCTGTGTTCCCTGCATCCCCTTTGAACCTCCTCAATAGCCTACTCTGCTGTGTTCTCCACAGGGTAGCACAGGTGGACACAGTCCCCTCTCCATAGTCTTCCCCATGGTGTGAGTACCATGCTTTTCTCCATGGTCTTAGGGACTGCCTTTTTCCTTACTGTGCACCCCCCTGCCTGCATTGGTGGGGTAGGGGATGAAGAGGGCCAGTTACTGTAAATCCTGAGAGTGAAGCCCTGTTGAGAGGCTGAGCTATCAGGGGAAGCTAGGACATGGAGGGGAGATTTGGGGTGTGGGCTGGCCCAGAGCTTTGGCCAGGGCTGGGGATTATAGGTGAGAAGATAGAATTGGCCTCAGCTTAAGTTATCTGGACTCCTTGGCCTGGCATGCTCCACAGCATTCCAGAAAGGTTAGGAAGGTTAGGAAGGGGAGGAGGGGAAGACCAGGATCAGGGCTGTGAGATACATACAGCTGATGAAGCAGACCAGGCCTCCCTACCACATTCTTCTCAGGAGTATAGGAGTCAGACATTCCCATTGTTCTCGCCTGTGACCTCTGACCTCTGCTTCTCTGACAGCAGCACACCACCCTTGTGACCTCCTCCTCCAGTTTTATAGACCTGGACCTCTGCCTCAAGTTCTCTCAATGTCCGTCATTTCTTCCTCCAGTTCTATCATGCCTGTGACCAGCCAGGCATTGTGGTTTTCTGCATCATGGACTACGATGTGCTGCAGTTCTGTGATTTCCTGGGCTCCTTAATGTCCGTGTGGGTTACTGTCATTGCCATGGCTCGTTTACAGCCCGTGGTCAAGCAGGTCAGTCCAGAGTGGGCCCGGGGGGACAACCATAGCCAAGTCTATTGAAGTCCACTCCTGACCTCTCCCTGGGGGCATTTCCAAGTGCCTCTTGCCATCCTGGCCCAGCCCCAGGAGTGCTGTCGCCTGGCTCTAGTCCAGCCCCGGAGTCCTCTTTCTCTAGGTGCTGTATTTGCTGGGGGCTATGCTGCTGTCCATGGCGCTGCAGCTTGACCGGCATGGACTCTGGAACCTGCTTGGACCCAGTCTCTTCGCCCTGGGCATCTTGGCCACAGCCTGGGTAAGGGTGGGGAGGGTTGGGGGGGGGGTCTCAGCAGGACTTGGGTATAGGGCCTTGGGTATCTGGTCCCCAATTTAAGGTGGGCTTGGACTCTGTCATCATCACCTGCTGCTCACAGTACCCCTCCAGTCTTGGCAGGTGCCTTTAGGTCACAACCAAGGCTCAGAGGAAGCCTGAGGGTGACCAGCTCTGGTTTGAGTTTCAGGGCCTTGTGTTCCTGAGTCCCATTTCTCTGCCTCCCCCAGACAGTACGCAGTGTCCGCCGCCGGCACTGCTACCCACCCACATGGCGCCGCTGGCTTTTCTACCTATGCCCGGGCAGCCTTATTGCTGGCAGTGCCGTCCTACTCTATGCTTTTGTGGAGACCCGGGACAACTACTTCTACATTCACAGCATTTGGCATATGCTCATCGCTGGCAGCGTGGGCTTCTTGCTGCCCCCTCGTGCCAAGACTGACCACCGGGTCCCGTCTGGAGCCCGGGCCCGGGGCTGTGGTTACCAGCTATGCATCAATGAGCAGGAGGAGCTGGGCCTTGTGGGTCCAGGAGGGGCCACTGTCAGTAGCATCTGTACCAGCTGAGAGGGGCTTTGGGCCTGGCCCTGGGGGGATATGAACCCTTGCTAGGGTTCTTCCTGGGGACATGGAGCCCTCCCAGGAACAAGAGACAAGCTGTATTTCTTGAGGACATGGAGTCTTTCTCAAGGACATAGAACTCTTCCAGGGACCTGGAGCCCTTCCCAGTACATGGAGAACTTCCTGAGGGCTTGGTGTCCTCCTGCATCCATGGAGTCCTTCGTAAGGAATGGAACCTATGCAGGGCACAGAGCCCTCTCAGGACCAAGTTGTCCCTCCCAGGGATATGGAACCCTCCTAATGACATGGATTCCTTCTCAGGGAGACAAAGCCGCATCAGGAACATGGCATCATTCCAGAGGAAATGGAGTCCATCTTGGGGAAACTGAGTCTCCAGATTTTCCCAGGGGCTCAGCAACTCTGGCCTCAGGCTTCCTTCCCAGGGGCGGCATCTGGGCTGTGCTGTGCTGGGGAGGAGGGATTGCAGGGATGGATGGAGCTGGGACTGGCTGGGGTGTCTGTGTCCTGAGTTGATGCAGGTGGAGTCTGTGTGTCTCCAATGAAGTATGTGCTGGTTGTGTGTGCCTTCTTTCCTGGGGTCAAGGCTGTGGGGAAGGGGCAGGGGAGAGGGAGTCTGAGGAAATCAGCAGGGATGGTGGGAGCCCAGCCAGAATGAGCCGCTGGGAGCTGCCCACCATGTATGCACTTGCCTCCCTCTCATCTGGCACCTGTGTTAATTTCCAAACACTTCCTAATGCCTGTTCCTCAATTCCTGTTGATCTCAGTGTGCAGTAGCTGAGGTGTGTGCATATGTGTGCACGTGATGAAATGGTTTACATCAGTGAGACAAACCAACCTTGTGATGTTGACACCCAACACAGAAGGAAGCCAAGGTCCCAGGAAATTGGGAGTAGCAGGTATACATCTCAGATCTGCAAGAAATATCACAAGAATATAACTTCTGTTTTGAGCCCCTATTTTTCCTGAGTGCCAGAAAAGATCATTGGTCAATTCAGGGTTTCTTCTCTTTCCACAAGGGTCATAGCTGAGTTCTGAGGGTCTTACATGATGCCAAGATGTTAAGGGAGTATTCTGTATGGTCACCAGTGTCCATACTCATCCCCTGAGATTTCCATCATTCTACCTGGTCTCCACTCAGAGGTCCCAACAGGTCATTTGGGGTACAGGGGGGTTTCTTGTTCCCATCTGCACAACCTTTCAGTCCTGAGGTTCTCTCCACCACAGCTGTCCACATATGAAGACCCATGAAGTTATTTGAGGCCTTGGCTACCTAGACACACCTTGAAGCCATTTCTACTCTGGGGTTCTGTTCTGGGTTTTACTTGACAAACAAGACATGAGTTGCTTCATCTGTTAAATCCTGCAAAGCTATCCAGGGTCCCTCCCTTTGGGTACCCTCTGTGCCAGTACTCTCATTACTTCCCTCCTCCTCTCTCTTCCTCCCCCTTTTGTTAATATGGATGTGAAGAAGCCTTACTTTCACTTACCATGTTTTCTCCCAAATCTTTTATCTATGCCTTAAGTTTTTTCTGTTCCCTTCAGGGCCTAGACTTTTGAAGTGCAAAAGCCAGGAAAATATCCTTTTGTTCTCTGTTTTCTGCAATCACATCTCTTCCTTGGGCCACTGGGCAGAGAATGGTGTGGCCAACTGAATGGTGAGAAGGAGCGAGGGGGCGTGGGCTGGGTGTCTGTTCCTATCCCAGAAATATTATTCCATCACATGAAGATGTATAGAGCCAGGTCATTAGGATGCTTGAACATGAATAGCTGGGATTCAGGACAGGGTCAGCAGAGTACAGAAGACACCGAAGAGGGGAGACAGAGCTGGGACAAACCCCACCCAGCGAGGAGGGGTCAGAAGGGGTTTCCTAGAAGCGGGGGTGGAGGGGTGTTTGAATGAGGATTAAATAAGTTGCCATAATGCCAAGATGTTGGGACAATATTCTCTGTGGTCACCAGCATCCATATTACATCCCTCCCCCAAGATTTCCATCATTCCGTCTGGTCAGCAAAGCAGTTAGAACACTTAGTACAGTGCCTAGATTGGTACGTGATGCATGTCCAATATATGTCCCTAAAGGTCACCAAGTGTTTGGACATGGGGAGGGAACAGCAAGGGGCAGATGCAGCAGCAGGAAAGACTGATATTTACTCAGGGAACTCTTGTGCCTGGGTTGTGTGTGTGTGGGGGGGCAGGTGGTGGAGGCAAGCAGCCAACAATGTGGTTGGACAGATGGGGCGGTCTAGCCTTTATTCTGTCAGAAATGAGGAGCCATTGGGTAGATTTAAGCAGGAGAGTAGCATGATCAGATTGGTGTTTTGTTGGCTGGGGTGGAATATGGATTTGGGGGAGAGTTTGGAAGGTGAGTTCGCAGTGACACAGCTGTTGCAATATTTGGGAGAGAAATGGTGAAGGCTTCTTAATTAACACTATGTCAGTGGAAAAGAGGGAACCAATTTAAGAGCTATTAGGAGACGAACTCTATAGGACTTAGTGACTGATTGGATCCATGGGGTGATGAGGTACAATAGAAAGTCTAGGATGACTGCCATGTTTCTGACTTGGGCATGATGGTGCCATTCCTTGAGATGGTGACACCACTTTGGGTGGGGGGATGATGAGTTCAATTTTGGACAGTTTGAGTTTGAGGTGCCTGTGGGATTCCTGGGGATGAGGTGGGAAGGGCTGGGCATAGCAGCTGAACCAGGCCTGGAACCCTGGTCTCCTGGCTCCCAAAATGGGGATCCTTGGTCTCCTGACTTGTCTTCATGGGGGAGAGCCCAGGATCCAAACAACCCCCACCTGCCTTGAATCCAGTGCTTTGGCCAGCAGATACTGCTGCTCTCTTGCACGTATCTGTACGCATAACTGGACTAAGACCCCTGATTACATATAATTGCCTGGAGTGTGTTCAGCAGCCCAAGGTTTAATTCCCAGATGGTGATGTTGTGAAGGCTTCCAAGTGACAGTTCCATTCAGCAGACATTCCACAGAGAAAGCTCTGTGGGCGCTGCAGGGATGAGTCAGACCTGCCTGAGTCCTGCCCTGAGGAGCTCACACGGTGGTGAAATGTCACAAATGCCAGTCAGGATGGGACAGGTATCGAGTGAAAGTTCCTGACAAAGTGCTGTAGGATGTAAAGAGAACAATCTCAAAGTGCAACAGGAAAGCTTGAGTGAAAGAGATGGTGTCTAGGCTAGCTTGAAAACTGGTCCCAGGTGTCATCTGAGAACAACACGAGCAAAGACATGGAGGTGCGGGAGGTGCATGCAGATGACGTAGTGAGGGGACGGCCCATGTGAAGGGTGTAGTGGAAAATCAGGCTGAAGAAGCAGGTGGGGCCAGATTCTCCGGAGGGCCTTGACGACTCAGCTGAAGAATTTGAACTTAATGCTTTGGTAATGGGGGCCATCAAAGGTTCTTGATCAGAAGAGTGATGAATCAATGGGGTTTGACCAAAGTAGCAGAACCACTATGAGTGCTGTAAGGAGTTTATTATAGACATTAGACTGATGCACTCATGGGAGTGGTTAGAGAAGTCTGTGCAAAGCTGCTACCTCTGCATTTGGGCTTGGGCCTGAGCCGCTGCAGGTGAGCGGTGCTGGCAGTCGGGGAGGAAAGCTGGATGTGCAGGCAGCGGGGTAAGGGCAAACTAGAGCCCAGGAGGACAAACTAGAACCTGGTCTGGCTCTCATGCCTTCAATCTCAGTGACACCGGCGACCTGCAGGAGAAGCTGGCACCTTTTGTCATGAAGTTGTACTTGACCCAGAGCTCAGTGGAAGGAGGTGATCTGGTGGGGACTGGACGGGCTGCACTTACAAGGTGAGCCAGCATCTTAGCGACAGCATGTGAGCACTCCCACAGTGTGTGGTGCTGTTTCACTTTTGCCTTCCACATCTCATGCATGGTTCTCTCTGGTCAGCCCTAACTCAGACCCATACCCGGGAGAGAAGTCTGGGAAGCACACACTTCAACCTAGTTTGGTTGACCCAGTACAAAGCCACCATAGGTGAGCTAACCCGAGCTTTCTTGGACAATTAACCTGGCAGCAGCCCACGTGCAGGGTGCAGGACGGTCCATGAAGGATGTACAGTTGGGGGAAAAGGAAGCGAAATTTCTGCTAGCTCTTGGGTAGACTCTGGAGGAGGCGTGGTGGTCATCAGGCTATTCACCGAGCTCTCAGTCCTCTCTCTCTTTCATTCAAGACACATGGTAGCTGTGCTTGTCCTCCCCTTTGATGTCAGAGGTGGTCATGTGCCTTGCTGCTGCCATTGTGTCGGCCCATGAGATGTAAGTGGAAGTAACATGTGGCACTTCTGAGTGGAAGCTTTGAGAGTCGGTGCAGGCTTTGTTACTCCCCTTTTCCTTTTGTCGTGGTGACCAGCAGTGTTCCAGATGGTAGCTGCTTTGTCCGCCTGAGTCCCAGAGGGATGAAGACCACAGATCAGAGTAGAATCCTAGCCAGCCTCATGTGGCCCTGCAGCGTGAGCAAGAAACAAACCTTGATGGCTTTAAGCCACTGAAGATTTGAGGTCACTGACACCACATAACCTAGCCTGTGCTGACTGACAGCGACGGAGAGCAACAGTGACAGCGGGACGCTTTCCTGGAGAGCAGGCGGCCCCCCAGCAGAGCTACGGCAGCAGCTTTCACCTCTGCGTTCCTCAGGCTGTAGATGATGGGGTTCAGTGAGGGTGTCACAACCCCATAGAACAATGTGATAATCTTATCCAACTTGGGGTCCTTGGCCTTGGGCTTGAAGTACATGAAGGAGATGGTCCCATAGAAAATCACCACCACTGTGAGGTGGGCAGAGCAGGTGGAGAAGGCTTTGCGCCGGCCTGCAGCAGAGGGTACCCTGAGGATGGCAGCCAGGATGAAAACGTAGGAAAGGCAGATGAGCAGGAGTGGGGCCAGCGTCAGGACGACTGTGGCCACCATTATTGTCAGTGCATTGAGGGAGATGTCCCTACAGGCCAGTTTTAGCACTGCCAAGATCTCACAGAAGAAGTGGTTGATGACACTGTGGCCACAGAAGGGGAGGCGCCAGACAAGGATGGACTGCAGGAGCGAGTTGGCAAAGCTTGTCCCCCAGCTCAGCAGTGCCATCTGCATGCACGTCTGCCCACTCATGAGCTCCGGGTACCTAAGTGGCTGGCAGATAGCTGCATAACGGTCGTACGCCATCACGGCCAGGAGCAGGCACTCTGTAGAGCCTAGCGCCAGGGTCAGGTACATCTGCAGGGCACAGCCGGGGAAGGAGATGGTCCTTCGGGCTTTCAGAAAGTTGACCAGCATGAGAGGCACGAAGGAGGAGGTGCCACAGATGTCCATGAGGGAGAGGTTGCTGAGAAAGAAGTACATGGGGCTGTGCAGGCGGGGGGCCAGTACGTTCAGCCCTATGAGGAGGGAGTTGCCCAGCACGTTCACCAAGTAGATGCCCAGGCACAGCACAAACAGGACCGCCTCTAGATTATGGTGCCCATGTAGCCCCAGCAGGACGTATTCCGTCACAACTGTCTGGTTTGTTCCACTCATCTCCTTCTCTCTCCTTTTCCATCTGGACCACGTGGCTTTTTGGAAAAAGCTCCAGCTGACCTGGGGCCAGGTGCCCTGGATGTGTGACCTGTGGCAGGTCAGCCTCCCTTTCTGGAATCTGGTTTCATCACCTGTATAGTGAGAGAGTAGGACCTCAGGTCTGTAAGCCAGTGCTCCCCGCTCTGCAGTTCTGCTCACAAAACGTAGGGGAGGATGTGGCACATCCCAGTCCCCTAGGTCCACCTCTGCTCGCCCCAGGGCGCGGGGGAGACACCAGAGTAGATTCATGTTTGACATGCTCCTTTGGACTCTAAAGTGTTCTTGGCTGTTAAGAGGAAGCATCTTTTCTAAGTTATGACTTCATATGACTGAATTGTTATGCTCATGGTATTTTAGGTTCATTTATTCACTGAAGATTTACTGAGTGCCCACTCTGTGCTAGATATTATTTCAGATGCTGGGGCTACAGCAGTAAGAAAGGTAAGTGGACCTGCCAAAGGTGCTGCCCCCCTGCCCCCTGCTTCCAGATGAGCTCTGGAAGGCAGGTGTGTGGTGGATAATGCTCACCTAGTATTCCTTTGGGTCATGCAGGTCAAGCATTTCAGCTCCACAGGATGTGTAAGCCTGATTTCTGGTCATCTCTCCTTAAGGAATCACAGACCATTCATTAATTTTTAAAAGGACATCAAAACATACGTATCCTAATAGAGTTACTGGTCACAGGATTTAACCCTGGTCATGAAAGCCAAGTGACTCACTTCTTGGCCTCCATATTGCTTTCTGGAATAAATGATATCGGCAATGATGCCACACGAGGAGGGAAGCCAGGCGCTAATCTGGCAGAGGCATGGTCCGTCATCAATTATAAAGGGAGGAATGGGAAGAGGCTGCAAGTTTCTCCCAGGTAGCCACCATCGCCCTGCTGAGCTGGTCTCACTGCCTCCGAGGGAAAAGCCAGTGTTAGGTATTCATAGGAGGGAGCCCAAGTGTCCCCAAAGCACAATAGTCTTGTTAGGACTGGAAAGCTGTCTCATGGCCAGGTGGACCCTGGTCTGAAGGAGAAATAGTAGCTGAGTGTGAACTTTTCTCATTCAGAATATATAATTCTGCCCCCCCACCCCAGATTGACTGCGAGCCCAATTTTCTGTGATACTGATGGAGTGCTGTGTGTCCTGGGCTGGATTTTTTTCTCATTCTTCCTGCTTAATTGTACCCACCATTTGTAGGGGCCACAGTGATCACCCTTTTCTAAATAAACCATGTCTTTCCCCAGCTCTACATCTTTGCCCAAGATAGAGGCACGTCCTCCTCCCTTCCCCAGTGGGGTGTTCCTGTTCACTCTTCAGGGGCCAGTGCTGTGTCTCCTTTCTTCTCCCTCCTGCCTCTTGCAGAGTTACCTGCTCCCTTCTTGTGCTCCCACAGCCCTTACCATCTCTCCGTGTCACTGTGTGGCATGTGGTGCACCTGTCTTCTCTACTACACCTTGAGATCAGCATTCTGCCTCCTTCCTCCCAGCGCCCCGCATACAGCGAGTGCTGCCAAGGGCAGACGCTCAGCAGAGATCGAATGCATGATCCCAGAACCCAGCTTTGCCTCCCAGCTTCAGCACGAACTAGCCTGTGATACTGACCAAGTCACCTGGCCTCTCTGAGCCTTGGTTTCCTCCTTGAAGACTGGGGATGCCGTGTAGCTCAGAGGAGACACACACATCTTTGCCCAAGATGGAGGTGCAGGGCGGTGCAGTAACAGATTGCTATTGGGACAGATAGAAGGCTGCATCTTCAGCCACAGGTACCTGCTGGATCTGAACCAGCCACCTCCTGGACAAGGGCTCCAATGTCTTTCGTGACGCCCTTTCTCCAGAGCCTATGCTGGGTTTCCTTTGTCTACCCTGAATCAGGGTGATTATGAGGGGACAGTTTCTGGAACATGCAGGGGTAGTTGGTTAATCTGGGTCAGTTACTGACCTTAAATTTCCATGTGAACATTTTACAGGTAGAGTTTCTCCTGCTGAAGTTTGGTAAAAAGATAAAGAATTGCCTGGATGTGATGGCTCATTCATTTACTCACTCAACAAATAGTTATTAAGCGCCTACTATGAACTAGGCACTGGGAACACAGCAGGGACATGTGGCTTCTGCCCTCATGGGGTCTACAACCATTCACTCACTCTCCTTACCTTGGACACATCCCTGCCTCTCTCTGGGCATTAGACCCCTGAGATTCTGGGTGTGGGATGTAAAGACAAAGTAAGACCTGAAATCTGGAAAGATCTATAAGGGCTTTGTCTTTGCTGGGTGTGTTGTTACAAAAAGACCTATGTTCATCTCAAAGTCTGGCACTGGACACGGGCATGGGGGTGTTTTCAAGCCAGTGAAGGCTGGGAAACCAGCGAGTCTGCATTTCTCTTCATCACCCCTGCCTCTGTCCAAAACAGCAGGTGGGCGGTGCAAGCATTTGAGGGTTTCTGTGCGCAGGCTCTGGCTGCCCTCCTGACTCACACTGCTCCCACCTCAGCCTCACCAGACCACCCCACACTGTTCAGACAAAGCCCTCACTCTCCAGGCTTGTCCTTCATGTGGGCAGTTTCCTCAGGCTGGAGTGGCCTTTCTCTCCTCCTCACCCTTCAAGGCTCAGCTCACACACCACCTTGTCTGTGCAGCCTTCTCACGTGCCTCCGTAGAACTGACCACCCGGGCAACAGGAGGGGCACACAGCTATTGGAGTAGGTTCGTTTCATTCTGCCTTGCATCGTGGCGAGTTTGTTGTGTGTCTCTCTCTGACTGCTGTGAGCTATTGCAGTGGAAGGGCTGTGTCTGATTCATTATGGGCCAGGGAGCCATAGCCAGGAGCTGTCAGTGATCACCATGAATTGAACTGACCATTTATTCAGATCCAGTGCTGTTCTTCTGTCAAAAATCCAGATCCCAATGTCTTTCCTTGAGATCAATGTCCCCTTTTCCCTCCAATACACACACCCCAACAGGATGGTGCAGCCATCGTGATTCCTAGGAGAGCTTTGGGGGTTCCAGTCTCCTCCCTGTAGTAACAGCTGCTCTCTCTGAAGAGCTACATCAGGAGTGTGGTGGGTTTCCTCACAACTTGAGTCTGATCATAACACATTCATGGAAATTAAAGCTAGCCCATGAGACCACAGGCTTATGGCCCCAAAGAAATAAGTCTGTGTCTACATAATACCATGCTGCCAGGTTGCCAATAGCTTTGACTGCAGCATGGGCACAGGATGGGACATCAGGGAGCAGCTGCTGTTCCCTTGGTGGGTCACTCAGGATGGGCTAGGTTATGCTGCAGTAACATACAACCTCTTAATTTCAGTGGCTTAACATGACGATGGTTTATTTCTTCCTCATGCTACATGTCTATTGGGGGTTTTCAGGGGGCCCTCCTCAGAGACCCTGGCAGATGGAGACTCTACCATCTGGGACATCACCAGTTATTATGACCAGAGAAGGACACACTGGAGCATCTTGCGCCAGAAATTAAATGTGCTGACCCAAAAGTGACATATGTCACATATGCTCACAGCTCACTGGCTCTGTGGAGTCCTACCACGTGCTGAGAAGGAAGAGAGCTAGAAACGTTGCACCTCCGCATTTGGGCACAGTGGCATTTCCCAGTACACTCAGAAAGCTGCTTTAGCATCGGTCTGTCAATGTCACACACTGTCATGTCCTGAAAATCGTCATCTAGTTTCACTCCTCACTTGTACACCTCCTGGGTGGCAGAGTGATGCTGGGAAGGAACCCTGGATGGGGAGGGAGGGGACCCAGGTTTGATTCTCGGCCATCGTTCCTATTCTTCTATATGACCTTGGTCAAGTTTCTCCTGAGAAAATGGAGCCATTCAATTAGGTGGTCTCTGGTACTCTGTAACCTCTGACACATTTGCTCACGTCTTTCTAGCAACTTCCAACCAGAGGTCTGGTAGGCCCAGGGTTACTTGCAAGGTAAATATATCACTCTCATTGGCTGATAAATCTAATTTTAACAATTTAATACTTATTTTAGGGTTTGCAAATTATTTAACAAGAAAATAAAGGGGTATAACAAGAAAGCTTCAGTTACAACTTCCCTGAGATGCCTGGATCTGGGTCCTGCCTCACCGCTTCCTGGCTGTGTGGCAGAGGGGCTGAGGGTGGGCTTGGAGTCAGACTGACCAGGGTCCAAGTCCCAGCCTTGCTGCTTGCTCAGTTTTCTCAGCCTCAGCTTCTCACCTGTGATGTGGGGATAATAGTGTTTCCATCTGGGCTTGTTTTGAGGATCCAGCGAGATGAAGCATGCAAAGTTCTCAGCACGGAGCCTGGCGCACGGGTAAATAGTAAGTGGTAGATGATATTGTGTCCCCTTTCCCAAGAAAATACTCTATTTTAAGAATGTTTTAAAAAGATTTCATGAGAATAATCAACATGGCAGATGAATTCTCCTTACCTCCCACCTCCTGGCCCGTGGCCTAAGTGTATGTAGGGAGCTGGAGCCAGGTGGGCTGAGCTGAGGCTTGGAGGTACTTAGTTATTACCAGCAGGTGCACGTGCCGGGATGGGCCAGGGCCCATGGGTCCCGAGGACCAGCCTCCTGCTCCCCTGCTGCATAGACAATCTGCTTGCTCCCTGCTCTTGGGGACCTTGCAGTCCCTGCCCAATTTAAAGTTCAAACTCTGCAAGTGCACAAAGTTGAAGGTTTGGCAGCTGTGGGACCTGGGCTTCAGAGACTCCATGTTCCTTGCCCTGTCCCAGAGGGGCCCTGCTGGGGTGAGGTGGGCGTAGGAGAATGCCGGACAGAGAACCTGGAGACTGGGTCCCCCTGTAGTCCTGCCCTTCAGAAGCCACGGACTCCGGGCCCGCAACTCCCCTTCACCAGGCCTGGGTGTCTGGGCTGTGAAATGGGTTGTCTCCTTTCAGGCTTGCTGTGAGGACCTGGATTCATCAAAGCTTAGAGAAAGTAAAGTGCTTTGTAAGGTGTGAGATTGAGGTGTACATGTGA